AAGAAATCATCCACATTAAGTTCTAATACGGAAAATGCACTTGGAAAATTCATTTTGGGTTGTTGGATGGGTTGGGCTTGGGTTGGGTATACTCTTACGCGGTTAGTTATTCGGTGGAGTTACTTATTCGGTGCGGTGTGCGGTTAGTCCACAAACCGCAAAAGAGCCAATTTCACTAACTGTTACCGAATAAAGACCCTTTTAAACTGTTTGCGGTTAACCACAAACCGCTCTTATTCGGTGCGGTTGCGGTTTAACCGCAAAACCGCAACCGTTTTCCCACCCCTAATGAAAAACAAAAGTGAGGCCCGTGATATGTTCAAGGTGTTTGTGGTTGAATTTGAAAAATTGTGCAACCGAAAAATAAAACGACTTATGAGTGATAGAGGATCAGAATACGGCTCTAATCCCTTCAAGGAATTCTATAGCTCACACGGTATCATTCATGAAATCACGGCACCATACCCACTAAGAATTAAATGGTAAAGCTGAGTGAAAAAATAGGACATATACAGCATTAGTTGTGACTATTATGCTCAATTCTAGAGCTGCATCTTCTTGGTGGGGTGATATATATTTTGTTGATGGTTTGCCATGTGCTTAATCTTCTTCCAAAAACTAATAGAAAAGAATCACCCTATGAGATTTTGAAGAATAGACCACCTAATCTGTCCTATTTAAGAACGTGGGGTTGCCTAACCTACGCAAGAATTCCATATCCTAAGATGATTAAGCTAGCTAGTCGAGTATATGAGTGTGTCTTTGTGGGCTATGCAGTCAACAACAAGGCATATAGATTCTATGATTTGAAGGCCCGTACTATAATAGAATCCAATGATGCTAATTTCTTTGAGAGTCCATATCCATTTAAAATGAGAAATAGTGAGGGTAATGTACTACCTTGTATTAGAGATAATAGAATTAGTGGGGGTGTTGGATCTGAGGGATGAACTCAGAAGAAGTAAAAGAGCTAGAATCTCCAAAGATTTTGGTGATGACTTTACTACATTATACACCCTCGAAGATCACAAAAATTTGCAGGAAGCATTAACTTCCATAGATGCAGATTTTTGGAATGAGGTCGTTATAGATGAAATGGATTCGTTGGAAGCTAATAAGACTTGACATCTAACAGACTTACCACCGGGTTGCAAAGTCTTAGGTAATAAATGGGCTCTAAAAACGAAATGGAAACCTGATGGTGCAATCGAAAGGTTCTGAGCTCGTCTAGTAGTTAAAGGCTATAGGCAGAGAGAGAATATAGATTTATTCAATACCTATTTTCCAGTATCTAGAATAAAATCCATTCGTATCATGATTGCTCTTGCTGCATTGAACAATCTCATGGTACACCAAATGGATGTTAAAAATGCTCTTTTGAATGGTAATCTGTACGAGAAAATCTATACGGAACAACCAGAAGGATTTGTTATCCCTGAACATATCTCGAAAGTCTGTAAGTTAGACAATTAATGAAGAAGAAAGCATTACAGCAAAGGGAACAATGAATCTAGGAGTATAAATAATTAAATTTGAGATCAATTTACAACAAGGATTAAGTCTATCAGATGACAATCTTGACTCGTATATTATTACAAAATATGAATTGAAGAGAGAGAATTTTATTAAAGAAAATAGCAATCCATTTTCACTAACTTATCAGAGAGAATTTTATTAAAGAAAATAGCAATCCATTTTCAGTAACTTATCAGCTAAATTATGTCCCAACAAACAATCATCGTAGTTTAATTTTCAAAACTAAAGAAGTAATTACTATAGAAATTTTATTTAAACTCCTAATCCAATTAGAGACACCGTTAAAACACTTAAAATGAAACCTAACCGATCATCAATACATCAAGATCAAAGAAGGACGATCAGAACACAATCAAAGAGAATTAGACACATCCCAGTAATCGGACAAAATTTATAACAAGAACAGACAACTAATGGCTTAGTAACAATAGTTAGTAACAAATAAGCTAGAAAAACTACAATAGTTAGTAACAAACTTAGAACATAAATATAAACTTAGGCCTACAAAATATTTTTTTTTTAGAAAAATGAAGTTTATGATAAGTCAAAAGGATTTATTGTATAATGAAAAAGTACAAGGACTAATTTTGAAATTTGGAAAACAAAATATTCTTCTCACTTTAACCGTAATTGTGTTGTTGCACATATTAGCGAGTTTGATGGCACGGGGTGCCCTAAATAAAGATCAGTGACACGCCTCTACCAATTCTAATAATTAAGTGACATCCATAGCAATACTCCCTCCACTCAGTCTTCCCATAGATTGTTAAGCCGACCAAACGGTCGGACTAGGTCAGACCACAATCTGCATACAAGCGGTTCAACTAGCCATATTTTAGTCTTAGCCGGCAACTGGTCAAAGCCGAGATCTGACCGGATTTATCCGGCCACCGGCTATCATGAAAACGTCGGCGTTTGGGGAAAGGCGGTCTCCACACCACGGCCACGTCTCGACGCGACTCCGACCTCCCCATTGATAAATTTTGATATGCTGTTTTACTCTGCTGAGGACGACCTCCCAAGCACGGATCCTTTGCGATAACTTGTTAGGGGCTTCTACTATGTCTGAAAAAATGTAACCATTACGTGCACACCATAAAAACTAGCATGTAAACCCAAAGCGAACCTGGTTATCAGGGCAGGCAATGGACTCCGCGAACCACTGGTGGAAAGGGCGCTCATCATTATGCTCGACCATCGCAGGAAGAAGCTCCTGCCAGACCTCCCTTGCAAACGGACAGCGGCGCAAGATGTGCTCCAAAGATTCCTCGTCGATGCGGCATTGTTGGCAGGCTGCATCAACCGCAATGTGTCGTCTGGTACGCTCAGCATTGGTGAGGAGTTTGCCGTGGTCCACCAGCCAGAGAAAGTGTTGAACTCTGCTTGGTCCCGGCCACCGCCAGAGAGCCTTCCATTTGCTATTCGACTCCTCGCCGTCGATCTCCGCCACCATTCGATACACTGATTTGAGGGTGAATTGGCCTTTCGGCTCAAGGCCCCAAACAAGCTCGTCATCACCAAGGTTTGTTTGTGGAGGCGGCATGCCGCTAACCTGCAAGACCAAGTCCATGGGTAAGTACCTAGCAATAAGATCCAAATTCCACTCACCCTCGGCTGTGGTCATGTCCGCCATGCATGCCTCAGTGGGAAAGGAGGCGTCGATGTTGATGGTGTGGTCGGCCAGGATGACACCACTATCTAGCCATCCATCCTTCCAGAACGCTGTGGTACGCCCATCTCGAACACTCCACCGGCTGCCTCCATCCATAAGCTTCCACTCCCGTCGTATTCCCCGCCACAACACCCAACAACCTGTTTTCTTGAGAGCACGAACAACTCCATCATGACCGACTTTCAGGTACTTCTCCGTAAGGATCCGTACCCAAAAGTTCATTGGGGTTCTTAAGAATAGTCCAGGCAAGTTTCACAAGGTAGGTCGTGTTCAAGTCCCTCACGTTCCGTAATCCTAGTCTCCCCTGGTCTTTAGGCAAGCAAATAGTAGCCCAATCCACAAGGTGAATACGCTGCCGCCTCTGTTGAGATCCCCATATAAAAGCTCGAATGCGCTGGTCGATGTAGTTCCAGATGGAAACCGGGAGCACCGAGGTCTGCATTGCGTAGGTAGGAATAACATTGAGAACGGACAGTGCCAGGGTGACCCGGCCTGCGAGGGAGAGGTTCTCAGCGTTCTACCCAGCCAACCGTTGATCCACACGGTCAATGAGGTATTGATAAGTCTGGCGAGTAATTCGGCCATGGAGGACTGGAACTCCCAAACATTGGTATTCCAAGTCCCTCACTTATCATACGACATTTATCGCGTGTGACATTCTTGGAAAAATATACTCTCGATTTCTCCTTGCTAACAATCTCCCCTGAGGCCTCACAGTACCGATCCAGACAATCCATGATTGCTACTACCTGTTCATGCGATGCTTCGGCAAAAAGAACGAGATCGTCAGCAAAAAAAAAAAAAAAATGAGACGGTCTACGATCCAAATTAAAACGATGAATTAAAAGCTAATTAAAAAAAAAGAGGTTTATTTTTAGTCCTTAGATCCCGCCCAAGGTTGTCAACCCGCGGGTCGACCCGGATTAGCCCGGACCCGTCCACGAAAACGGGCGCCAACAACCCAGTGAAGTATCAGCCCAGATTTGGTCAAACCCGGTCAAACCCGGTGAAACCCGGCAGACCCGGGTGGTTGGGCCGAAGGAGCGGGTCAGCGGTGTGACATTTTTGCGGCGCCGTTTCAGGTTTCTGAACTCCTTCCTTCTCTTCGATGCGTAGGTGATTGGGAGGTTGCAGAAGATAAATTAACGCTAAATCAATTTATTTCATTCTCTCAACTCGGGTCCCTCAGCCGAGGCTCAAATCAATCGATCTCCGCCTGCCGTAGCTTCGTTTGCCGCCTTGCTCTACTCTGTCTCTGTCTCTGTCTCTTCAGCTGATCTGTTCGTATGTAGGAGGTGAAATGGAGGAAGGAGAAGCAATCTTAAAAGCCATATAAATAGGATTCAGAGAGAAGGAGAAGGAAGTCGTGAAAGGGAGGAGAGGCGGCCAAATAATGGAAAGAAGGGGTGATGACGGCAAAAGGTGGGTAGAAGGCAAAAGTGATGGGATGTGCTCCATCAAACCCTAATATTCCTTTTTCAAATCATATTTTTACTTTTGGCAAGTTCCGATTACATTAATTTTGGAGAATATTATTGAAAATTTAAATTTTAGCAATTTTTAAGAGTAATTTATCTTATTTTAGATTTATTGTATTGTTATATGTATTATATTTTTTATAATATCCGGGCTAAACCGGGCTAATTCGGGCTAATCCGGTTGGCCCATTAACTCTTGACCCACTAGCTCAACCGGGTCCGGGTCGACCCACGGGTTTGACAACCTTGATCCCGCCCTACTTAAATTTAAGGGACCAGATCTGCAAGTATGCAGCGTAACTCTCCTATCCTGTCATCAAGAGACGAAAGAAAGGCACAAAAACCCTCATAACCCCCACCCTGTTGAGGCTTGAGAACATCTGCAGACAGCTTAACCAGCCATGCATCTGGTGCGACGAGTAGCAGGGCCTCTAGCGGGAAGGATTCGACTTTCTTCTCGAAGCGCAAATCCTTCTTCCGCTGTAACCGCCATCGATGTTTCAGCCATTTCACAGTCGGGTAAGTGAGAGACAGTTAATCGACATCGCCCCTGTTTACCTTAATCCGTTTTATATCGAGGGAATCCGTCATCAGAACTTTCCGCTTCTCTAACTACTTCAGCCGAATTATTGAAAAGCGAGTCTGTTAGCAGTCTTGATATTTAGCTTTAGCTTCTTGATGCTGCATTCGATTTGGAATTGTTGTTGTTAGTTCTTTTTCTGTTACTGAATTCCTTCTCATGAAGGCTTGGTTGTAGATGCACTGTGAAATTTTGTTTTCATGCTTTTTGTTTCGTACCGCATGCATTTCCAAGCAATTGAATGCTCTTTTCTCTCACAGGCAGGAACATTCCGTCCGGTAAATTTTGCTTTGGCAGATCAAGTTGGTGGAGTAATGAAAATCATTCTCTTCTATGGATTATTGCAGCAGGACAAGCTGGTATAGATTTGCTTACCTGTGTGACACTAAGCAGTTTAGTTCTCAAGTTCTATATTTTCTAAATCTTTCGGCTAATGATTCCCACACCTTGGCAATAGTTTTTATCGGGATGAATGACAACCCTGTACTAGCCGACGCTTCCATACAAAATAATTCTAAAACTGAATTGGAAGCTGCTGAGACGACTGCTTTACAGAAAATTGATGATGGTTCTGTTGTATCAAATATTCATACGTCTAAGTGGAGAGTTTTTACAGACAATGGAAGGGATTTTTTCCTTCAGGCAAGCATCTCCTCATTCCTCTTATTCTATGTTGTCTCAATTCTATCAGCAGTTATGATAAGGGGTTCATGGGAGACTCTTTGTGTGTTCTCTTCACAGGGGAAATTGGACAATGCAGAAACTCTCTTTCTTTCAGCATTAAAGGAAGCCAAAGAAGGTTTTGGAGAGAAAGATCCCCACGTGGCATCTGCTTGTAACAATTTGGTGCGTGATTTAAACGAATTTGACAGTTAGATTGATGGGTTATTTTAAGAGAAGTTAAGTAGTTAACTATCCTTGATATTTAGTATTTGTGTAGAACAAAATTGGCAAGAAGAGTTTTGTTGAAAATTTTGGGCTTTTAATTCGTCTAAATGAGATAAAAACTTATGATTCTTGTTAAGCTTGAATAATTGTTTTTCTCAAGTTTGTGATTCGGGAACATTTATATGTATTAGGAGAAATTAGAGTCATCCCGAGGATATGAGGTCGTGATCATGGTAACTGGCTAACTGCATCTTTTATCTTTTCAGGCAGAACTCTATAGAGTTAAGAAGGAATTCAGTAGAGCTGAACCTCTGTATTTGGAGGCCATAAAAATACTTGAAGAATCATTTGGACCAGAAGATATTCGGTAGGTGTCATTTGGTACCCCATATGTGTTGGCATAAATTTTATACCAGTATGGTCTTATAATGCTGGCCCTCATCATTGTATATATAGAGGCAGGCGCAGCGTTTCAATAACTTTGGTTATAGAGCTATATGAAAGAAATGGGCAGAACTTCTTAAATAAGCCTCGTTATTTTGTTTATTCATTTGACTAGTCAAGGAAACAGAAATCAATTAAGAAGTACCTGTCAATCTATATGGAACCTAGGAAAATCTCAAACTGTTCCAATCTAGTATCAAGATTTCTTCCGTCATATTGAATGGTGGAAGGAACTTAATATTCTTTTTCCTTTCATCTGTGCCTAATCAATTATTCAACTGATGGTTAATTTCATACATTCCTTTCAAGCATTCTTTGAAATAGTCCTTTGACTTGTGAGTTGCTCATGCATCTGTTGCTCGATGTTAAAATCTTAGTTTAGTACTCTAGGTCCAATTTGATTGCTACAACATGCACATGCCTTATATTTTAATATCATTCACGAATTTGTGGTCTATATTCTAGTACTTGAAAACATATATGCGTTTATGTCATCAAGTTGTGATTAATCATTTGTACTCATGGTACTGTATATTTTCATCATAGTGTAGGTGCTGCTCTTCATAACATGGGTCAGTTCTACCTTGCTCAGCGGAAATGGGAAGAAGCTTCTAAATGCTATGAGGTAATGGACATTTGCAAGCACTTCCTTGACGTTTCATTCCAAAAATGGAATCCCATATGCTACTATGAATTGTTGAATATGGATTTTTTCTCCATGTCCATGTAGCATTGCTTGTGCTTGTGCTGTGTTGAGATTTGAATCTTTGTTGGCAGATTCTGGGTGTATTACTGGTTTGGCCCAGTCATATAGGACTTACCTTGATTTAACGTTGCATGCTGCTTAACCACCCGGAAAATAGTCTTCATCGTGATTTTGATGCAATAGTCTGCCTTTGATTTTTTATATGTAAGAGCTCTACAGTAGTAGAAATCTCCAAAATCAGGAAAGTAGTGCATGGGAAAGATTAGGAATGCTTAAGGCTTCGAATACTGAAGTCAGAAGATCCATAACAAGGTGCTTGGATGAACCACTTAGAATTCTTAGTGGATTTCTTCTTCACTTTTGGTCTGCATATTGCTCTATTCTTTGCCAGGACCAATGCAGTCAAAAGCGCGAATTTTTTTTTTGTTGACAAAATCAAAAGCGCGATTCTACGCAGAAGCGTTTTGGTAACCTGGAAACATAAAACCATAATCTGTTAAAGTTTAAAGTGCGATTTTGACTACACTCATAACTGAAAAGCGTGATTCTACATAGAAACGGTGACCTAGAAGTGTAAAAGCGTGAGATTTTTAAACTTTAAAGCGCGATTTTGACTCCATTGGCCATGATGTCTGTGTTTGAAAGATTTCTTTCTTTTACTTCTTGCCCTGTTTCCATTTAGTTTCCTTTCGTGTTTTTGAAGATAATATTATCTGATAAGATACTGTCTCCAATGGGGCTAATTGTTGATGTACACTGTTGATCAATACTCCAAATGAACGATTGGTATACATCCAAACTAGGGGCAGCCACTGATCCTTAAACTTATTGGAAAGTAGATAGGTAAAATTAGAAGCGGGAAATGTGAAATGAATAATAGCGTGAAAGAAATACTGTAGTTTGTTTTTTTTCGTTCTTGGACCTCTTAGTAGTAAAGTAAATATTGGAAATGTGTAATGAATAATAGTGAAAGAAATACTCGAGTTTGTTTTTTCGTTCTTGGACCTTTTAGCAGTACATAAATATGATATGTAGTTTGCATCCGGCAATTCATTGACCCTTCATCAAGATCAATTTACCCATTGATAACCATGCATAAATGGATTCATGTGGAGACTTTCGTCCGTCTCTGTTGATGGGACATGGAGTACGTGCAGAGTTACAGCTATTGCCAAGATATGATCTGAAGTGTTTAGAATGCAAATAAAATAGGTATACGAAATATCAACTATATTTGGAGCTTAGCGTTGATGGAATATTAAACAATTTACTGTGTAAAGTCCATCTTGTACAGCAAATGGGGATAATGTTCAGAAAATCTCTCGACGAGTGTTTGCTGACAGGTGTATTACCTATGTCTGTCAACTTTCTTCTTTTTGGTTGTGCATGTTCCCATGTAGGCTTGCTAAATTATTTATGCGTAACAAGTCTATCTACCTATTCGTCTATAAACATACACTGATTTGTTTTCTTTTGCTTCTTTTTTATTTTCCTTGTGCAGCGTTCTTTGAAGGTGCGTACAATTGTTGTCTAAGATGCCATGAACAGTTGGGCAGTTGTTCTGGATTACTTTTTGAACTGTATTTTCATTTTCATGCATGACATTATTATTTCCTTTTGGATTGTAAACTCTTAACGCTGTTTTCCTGTTTTAATTTTGTCAGATTAAGGGGCGTGTTTTAGGATTCAATAATCCAGACTATGCCGATACTATGTATCATCTTGGGACGGTATACTCTTTTTATAATTCTAGTGGTTGGTCTACATTGTTTTGCTAGTTTGGTTTTTTGTTACTTAGGTTTTCATTTCATAGTGCATTCACTTATTTTACTTGAAAGTAAATCATCCTTAACGTCTGAAGGTGAAATATTGCCATGAATAGTACTGTTCCTCACTTTTTTTACTTGCTTAGATTTTCAAGTAACTTGTACCAGTTAGATTTTAGTAGGACTGGTATTAACCAAGTTAATGTTGTGGAATACATGGGTATGTTTAATGTACAGTAAATTTTTTGAGGGAAAACGTATCTGTTGTTATTGTAGGCTCATCTCATAGATAGTTCCTATTTTCTTTCATTTTGGCATGTTAGGTGGGATAGATCTCATGGCAAGAAAGTGTGCGGTTGCAGAACATTTGTGTTGTTGTTTCATGCAGATATTCTTATTACAATTCATTAGTAATCATGTGCAAGATATTGTACTGATAGAATCATTGGCTTGTGGGCAACATCTTTGCACTTTTTTTTCTTTCCCCAATTTTTGGTGTGTTTATCACAAATCCTTCCAGAAACAGCAGCTTCCACTTCCTTGGTGTCTATAATTACTCTCTCTCTCTCCCTCTCTCTTTCTGCTTCCCCTTTTCTTTCCTCACTTGGTTTCCCTCTTTCTTTTCTGATGTTTAGACTGCTGTGTGGCTGCAACTCAGGTGATATATCTTATGGGAAAACAAGCGGATGCTGAAGTTCTCATTCAGGATTCCATCAGGATAACAGAGGTACCCTGCTGTATAACACTTACTTGCGTAATTGTGGTTTTTCTGATCTCTCTAAATTAATGTTACATTTTGACTGCATCCCTATAGGAAGCTGGACAAGGGGAATCAATTACATGTGTTAGGAGATTGCGGTATCTTGCTCAGGTTGTCTCCCTGTCATTTTTGTTATCAGAATCTTTTGTGGCAGTGTAGTATATAAGGTGATTGACTGTTGTTATTGCGTACACTTGTATTGCATTTTCTACATGCAAAACAATAGGGCAGGTTTGTTTAAAAGTTTCTCAATTTTATGTAATCACGTTATCTTTTTGCATAACTCAATCCATTCTTGCTATTGTCCTAGATATATTCGAGGTCCAATCGCCTTGTGGAAGCTGAAAATGTGCACAGAAAGGTCCTGCATATAATGGAATTGTCAAAGGTCTTACTCCGATGTTTGATGCGTATTTCTGTCTTTACTTCTGCCTACAAATAAGGCTCGAAGCATGCTATAATCTTCCTTAGTTATCTTAGATTCTATGTCTAGTTGTCCCACTTGTAATATTTTACCTCTTTTTTTGGTTGCTCTTTCTATCTTTTTTGTGTTTCATCTTTTCCATGACCCCTCCTCTCATTCCATGTTCTATTTCCTATGCTTGTCTGCATAGTATTTAAGAATGCTCTTTTCCTCACTCTTGCTAATTTATACTTATCCATCTATAAGCTTCATGGCTTCTATACGCCCTATCATTCCTACCTTTTCATGTTACCTTCTTTACTTCCAAAGGGTTATGCATTCTCTATCTGGTATCTATTTTAATCTGGCCAGCTACAACTTTCCATTTCCATTTGCATGATAGGAATATAGTTAAAAGAGTATGACATAGGTCTAAAACGAATAACTGCTGGCTTGCTGTGACAAAAATGATTTCTTCTCGTCCAACAGGGTTGGAAATCTATGGACACATTGATGGCAGCTCAAGGGCTAGTCCAGACCCTACTTTCAGCTGGGAAATTTGGTGATGCGCAGGAACTTCTTGAAAGGTGAGCCATGATGAGTTTATCTGATCTGCCTGGAAACCATGAATGAGCAGGGCTTGAATAACCTAAATAATATTTTTTCCTTTGTTGCAGGTGCCTTGAAACTCAGAAAAGCCTACTCCCTGAGGACCATATTCAGGTTAGCTGTTGAATATTCAACACATAAGTTTATCAGGAAATGAGACCCTATTTTGGATGTGCTAGTCTTAGTCTAAGATGTCATGTATTATACACTCGCTATATTGTAAGACTTACTGCCTGGTTGTTAGTACGATAAGTCAGATAAATATCTAGAATAATCTTCAGACTGAAGCTTCTGTTCTTATGCACAGAATGCTAGCACAATGACTCAGCTAGCAAAGGCAGTGCTGCAAAATTTTGATACACTGAGAAACAAGAATCTTTCGGAAGCAGTTGGTGAACTTGACAAGGCAAAGGATATCTTAATCAAATCCATGAGGTTGGTCCTATTTTACAGTAGAAAGTTCTTGGAATCAGTTCATAGGGTAGTATATATCGTAAGGTGTTATGGTCGATCTTCAAGCTCGAAGACATGAGAGTAGCAAAGAAGTAAAAAAGTGCAGCAGAACAAAATCTTATCCTTTGCAGGTATTGACAGAGTTCAATTCTTCTCTTAACCATGAAGAACAACAGGACCTAATTCTTGCAGACAACTGGTCACCCAACTTGACTTCATGCCTTTAGGTCCTCAGAATTGATAGTGTTTACTATATAGAAGGGATGAAAGAAATACTCCAAGTTGACTCCTGATGCCATTTCCACTTTTTGCGTGTCTGTCAGACATGCATTTACTTGCCTGTCTTAGTTATTGATTGGTATTCCCATTTACAAATTGGAGGAGGTACTATTCAAAATGAGGTTGCTTTTACTGCATTGGGATGATAAGTTTGGTTAATGTCATCTCTTTATTTTGTATGTTCTTACAAATTTCAGCTCTCTTTTATGGCAGGATATCCCAAAAAGCCTTAGATAGGCTCAGAAAGCAAACTGGAAGTAGGAAAAAACATGGAGTAGCTGAAGGAACTCGAAGGGAAGGAAGGGTTGCCTTGGCAACACTGGTCAGTTTAGTTTTTCTGTTGCTCCTTAAAGAGGAAAGAAAACCAAAGAAGGGAATTGGACATATGCCAAAGTGACTAAATCCCAGTTTTCTCTATACATGTGCACATTAGATTTCTAATGACTATCTGCTTACCTTCTCATAATCATTAGCTGTTCTTTTTTACTGTGTGTTAGTACGCATGAGTTCCTGTTTACGTAATGGGATAATGTGTACGTGTATCACCTGTATGGTTTTGTTAGTTGAACTCTTATACCAACAACATGTGAAACTTCTGTGTAAATCAAATTGGAAGGAGAGTGACCATTAAGAGGAGATATGCAGTCATCTAACACAGATAATGTTTCTGCAGTTTCACAACTGTTGTAGTGATTTGCTCAATAGCTTATGATATCGTAATAAAAAGATGATGGCTATGGTTTAGGGAGTTAAGATGGGGGGTTTCCTGCAATTTGTGTGCTAGAATCTGTGGCAGGTTGTTGTTTCCGACAGGATGACAAACTTATGTTCTTCATGCAGCTGCAGTCACTTTACACCCTTGGTCTTTTGGAGATCAAGAAGCATGAGTTGCAGGAGAAAGAGGTAGTACTGGGAAGCAATAGTAGTACTTCGTGTATCCAGTTTTCCCTACTAAGATGTGTTCTTTTTTATCATGATACACTGATCACGTGTTTTTGCCATTTTTTGCCATGAAACAGAAATGTTCATCTGCTGCTGAGGATGCGCTTTTTCAATGTATTTTGGTATACAAAGAGGTACGTTTATGCTGCCAACGGCAGTAGTGCTTTTCATGAAGATTGGCTTTCGGATACTTTTTTTCTAGTAGTGGCTTTCTGGATACTGGGATCTGGTATATGTGAAACATGTGGATGATAATGCTACACATGATAAGCAAGTAATAGATGGATTTGGGATTTGTAATCATCGAACAAGGTTTCTTTATTGAGGGTTTGAAGAACCTGCAGAGAAAGAGGATAATGATAAGACAAAAACAAAAGAGGGGGAAAAACAACGAAAAAATAGCTGTAAGACAAATAGAAATGGCAACTTTGTGAATCAACCATGTATGTTCTTAATTAATTTCCTCAGCCATTTGCTGTACTTGTTTCCCTTATCACTTCTGATATTGCAATATCTGTACCCCTGAACCAAGTGTTGACAGCGGAAAATGGAAATGAGCGTCTCTAACTTCGTGGAAGTTGGTGTGCAATTGTTTACTCAAACTTATGCCTTTGCTAGTGGAGGGGTTTCTCAATTGTTGGGGTAATCTATAGTTGATTTGCAACGGGAGCGAGTAGCGCAGTTGCCCTGAGCTGCTTACATTAAGATGTATTTTTCTGTAGGTCTGTTTCTTCTTGTTAATCGCAAATGATTGCAGTATATGAATAGGGAGTGTTGTGATCCACTGATGATTTCACTCCAGTTTACCACCCTCTTGTTGTTGTAGTTTGAAGCTGAGAAGTTAATTTCTGATTTCCCTGAAGTGAAGACCATGTACCTGTCATGCTTGAAGCAGCTGTCGTCCCTGGTACGTAGTAATGCTGTCAACCAAATTGTGAAGATATCAACATCAGCCGCCGTGGAAGAGCTTAACGATGAAATCAAGCGGGTGGAAGCTGAAATTTCTCGTCACAAGAGCTCCAAACCCTGACGTCCCCTTGGGTTTTCTTTCCGTCATTACAGTCTAGAATTCTTTGCCTGCTTTAATACCAACTTTCCCATATGAGTGAACGATATGAGCAAGGAAAGCTTCCAGGATAGGAAATAAATAAACAAACTAAAGACCTGTACAGAAAGTCAGAAACCTGTTTTTTCGTTGTTTTGGGGACTGCCTCAGTCTGTTGCCTTATCAAAAGAAAATTTCCTCCTCCATCATGCACTTGATTTTATGTACTATCTTATTGTTTTTACTTTTTACTAGTGTTTGTGAAATTGTACCTTATTGACTGTCCGACCAGGGTAAACCTCCGGTGAACGACCAGAAAAACCTGTCCAAATTGGTATATGAGTTTTACTAGTATGGTACAGTTTTACAATTCTCGTTTTTGTCCCGATAAATAGAAATAGGAAAAGAATTCTAAAAAGAGATTTGCTTGTATTGTAAGCAGGAGATGGAGAATTCTAATGCAAGCAGGCAGCTGGGGCGCACCGGTGGCAAAACATGAGCCTGGGAAAACAGGAAAAGAAAGCTCCAGTCGCCATTACGTAGACAGCATCAGAAGCTGTTTCACATTTGAAATGGTCTTATCGTTGGACTTGGGAGACCCTATTCACGTAGTACAGCTCACCAAACCTAACTCCAAGCCGAATGAAGCTTTTGGCGGGGGACAGTTCCACGTTTCTGGTTTATTCAGCTCTTCTTGTCTTGACAGCAACTGAAGAAGGACAAATTAGTGTCCATTTTCGTAGTACTGCAGCTAGATCAGAGACTCTGGTTCCTTTTCCATTTGAAGGGTAAAAGCCAAGAAAACGTTCTCCATCTAATCTTTGTCTGTGCCTCTGAAGCTTTGATTACCTTTTTCACTACAGTGGTTCCCAGTTCCATCTGCTTCGCTCCGCCATGCCATCCTTATTCCGAGGTTTAGTGGAGAGAAGGAAACGCACAGGTCCGAAGAAGAACGGGGACGACGAAAACTTGGCGCTGGTGAAGGCCGCTGCATGGGCTTGGTATCAACATGGTTCAGGCTCGTCACAAGGCAAGCAGGCGGTGGCCGAATTCGACTTTGCGGCCAAACCCAAACCTGCAGCGGCAGACATGCCATCCAGATACAGGGTGGGAGCTATGGCGGCGGCCAAAACCCCAGTAACAGCAACTGAAAATGAACAAGCTTCGTCATTGTCGTCGTCTCCAGCAATCCGAACCGGCCATTACTCTCTTCTTGATTCCCATGAAATCCAGAGCATTTCCAGGCAACTCGGCAGTCACATGGCAGAGTCCAGCAGGTACCTTGATCGGCAAGAAACATCGGACAAGGCGGAGGAGGAGAAGAAGAGACCGGCTGATTCGCGGCGGCTGAGACAGCGCCAGGTCATAATGTGCAGGGCAGGGCAAGACGTGGAGGAGAGTGCTTTGGTGAGCATGGCCAACAGGTATCCGTCGTCGTCGGCAAAAGGACAAGTCCCGGTTGTTGGGATGGAAGCTTGTAGGCCACGTCGGAGAGGTAGGCGTGGGAACTGAAGAGAAGACCTCTATTATCGATCGACCCTCCATTAGGCAAAGGGTAGGTGTTGGCCATTTAATAGAGAGTGGGAGTGGGAGGGACAGAGTGGATGCTAAACATAAAAAAGTTGAGGGGTCTCTAAACCATGGTAAGTCGAGAGGGAGGGGAGGGATAAAGTCTTTTTAGTTGATGTTCCAGCCATTAACTTTCAAACATGCAATAGTGTATAACGAGTTTGATTCATAAATAGATAAAAAGTTATGATCTTAGACCGTGTAAATTTCTAAAATAGTATTAAGCCGGTACGCCTGATTGATTCACATGTTGAAAATTACTTGACTCCTATTCCTAAGATAAACAGAAATACTGCTCTATTCTTTTTTGATCGATTAAAATGTAGAGCAAAAGTACATATTTATAGGACTAATCTCATATACTCTTTCCCTCTCAAACACTATAAACTAATCCAAAACTAACTCATAAACAAGAAATAATTAATACCTCAAATAACCCAAAAGAATATACCAAATAAACATAATAATAATAATAATGGAAATCATTGCGCTAATGTCGGATGAATGATTGCATCAATCCTTCTCCCATAAATAACCTCGTCCTGAGGTTGCTCTTCTTCCTCGACTCCTCTTGCATCCTCTCCCTCGAAGTCTACAATCATGTCGAACGCATAGTTATTGGCACAACGATGTCCATAGGTGAAACACTCGTCACAGTTGTAGCAAAGCATGTTCTGTCGTCGCCTCGCGGCTTTTTTCGATGGGGGTCCTCGTCCCTACAGTGGTGGTGTCGGCCGTGAAAGTGGTGGGGGAGTTGGGTCTGCTTCCGATGTCATCACCATCATTCCCCTTGTTGTCCCCCTCGTTGCTCACGTTCTATGCGGATCTCCTCCCATATCTTTGCTAAGCAATAGGGGTCCCCCAGTATTTCGCGGTCCAAACGCGATAGCCCAAAATTTTTAGTTTTAGACCTTCCATGTACGACCCTATAACTGCCTCCTTAATCCACTCGCGACAACGTTTCAGTAACTTCACAAAGGCTTGCAGGTAATCCTCTACTGATCATGTTTTCGTATCTTGGACAAAGCCTTAATGCTCGACGCTTTGTCCGAAGATCCATTCCTCTTCCAAAAATCCTCTCATGTCATGACCATCCCATGTTGTCGAATTCCTCTTCTAACCACATGATCCATTGATTGGCGTTCCCATCCATGTGGTACGATGCCAGGGTCACTGTCTATTCTTTTGGAATGCCCTAATACTTAAAATATTTTTCTAATTGGGACATCCATCCTTATTGTTCTTCCTGTCAAGTGAATATGGGGAATTCCAGCATTGTTGGTCGGCCACAAAAGAGAGCTGTAGCTGACTCCTCACTAGGCCCAGTTCACCCCGGCCTATCATTTGTCTGGTTCTGGGCTCCTAGTTCACTTCCACCTACACCGAGGTAGGTTGCCGACCCATTGGCACCGGAAACTCCCAGTCTAAGAGATCTAAACCTCGTATCATCTACTCTGACATGCTTGGGCCACCTTGATGTAGTATCGAGTGATAAATATCCTAGGAGGTCCTAGGTTCATATTCCACAGGGTCTTTTGATAGCAACTACTCAAAACTAAACTAATGTACTCGAACAATGCAAGAAAGTAGATGAAATGGGGTAAAGGAAGTGGGTTGAGGTGTGCACTACTCGAAATCTACTCTACTAATGCACGAAAGAAACAAAGAAATGCAAGCAAGTAAAGTAATATTTAGGTAGTGTTTTCTAGATGTTCATGCATACAATCTCATATATAAGATGCTTCTATGCATCATCTATATGATCCCCTATCCCTTCCCCACTCTCTGCCCATGCATGTGCCTCTTGTGATAGATGTTTGACTGGATAATGCATGCTTTCACTTCATACCATCACCTAATCAATGAAGAACAAAGAAGTGAGGATAACATATTATTAATTGTGGGCTTTTTCCAACCATAACCATAGTCTATAGCATCGATGATCAGAAATTGCTCTTGCTCGACTAATAAGGGTCGACCGTGCAAAAGACTGCAGTTGGAACCCCCGCTAAGTGAATAAAAATAAAAAAAAAAGTAAGTAAAATGAAAGTGAAAAAGGGGTTCCAACGGTGAAATGAAATGAAAGAGCACCCCGGTACAACGAGTCCTTGGTTGTGAATGGTGTGAGTCCCTTTATCCATGAACTGACTGTCTTACTTCTACTTCTTCTCATGATCCTGGCTTGAGTCTTGTACTCGCATTGAGAGAGATAGGGAACGTCTTAGAAGACCAGTTGACCTCGTAAGCTGCTATATGATCTAGGAAATCCTCTACCGACGATCGGGGTTGTTTGTTGCTATAGAGGTCTGGAGAGCTGCATTGGTTTGAGTTAGGTTTGCTTGGGGACAAGCAAACGGTTAAGTGTGGGGGGATTTGATGACTCGATATTTGCACATGTTTTCCCCTGTGTTTCTTGATCGTTTGAGCTTTAATTATCAAATCTTTGGCCTATTTTACGCTAGGTTGTGTTCCTTTGTCATATTTCAGGTCCTAGCACATAAAGTGAAGCATAGGCGCAAAGTTCAAGTCAATCAGAGATCAATTGACGATTCGGGAGAAGAAACTCGGGTATGACCTGAAGAAGAATGGATTTCTACCTCACTTCATGAACAAAGAATCATGCAAGCTTGTTATGAAATGAAAGAGGACGAGACTACGAGCGTCTGGGATCAAACGGCGACTGATTCGGAGTCCGGACGAGGGAGAAACGAAGCATTGAACAGGCTCGGCAGTGAAAACACGGGCAGTAGGCCTTCAGAACACGGCCGTGTTCTGTGACCGTGTTTTTACTGCCGAGAGCTGATTTGAGTTTGGCCAACTCGAGCTGAAAACACGGGCGGGCTGAGGCAAAGCACGGCCGTGCCCTCGACCGTGTTTTGCCCAGAATCGGGTTTTTTAACCCAAATTCGAGCCAAAGGAGAGGGAGAGCTGGGTTTTGGATCCCAAACACCCAAGGGACGAACCAAAGAGAGAGGGGGCGATTTGAGGGCATTCTTGGAGTGGAATTGGAGGATTTCTTCACATTGGAAGCTCAAGGAACAAGCCCGGACTTGAAGACTGATCATCATAAGATTCTTACTGCAGTCTCTCTCTTCTCTATGGAGTAACTTCCCTTCACTTAGGTTTTGAGGAACCCTAGCCATGTTTGTTTGATTGGATGATTGTATGAGTACTCTGACTTGATAATCTTGAGTTCATATTCAATCTATGCATGTTTTCACGATTCAATTCTGCTTTAGTCGAGATTATTGATTCTGCTTTGATCCTATGAGAGCGAATACCTGATTAGGTCAATAGAGCACCATAGATTGATAGTAGTGGATCGATTGCTTTAGTCGAGGGTTGATTCACTGCTTTGTATCGATGGAGAACCTCATTCGATAGAGGGAATCTAGTTCAGAACGCCTTGATCAGTTGTTCTAGAGAAGGATACGTCCCTCTAGGCAATTGACTCAAGAGGGCCTTGTTCCTTTAGTCGAGACTCAAGGTCTAGTTAAGGATTCTCCGCATTGTGAATGAAAGTGAAACATGTTAGAGATCATCAATCGTTAATCTGGCTAGTGGCTAGGGGGAATCATACCTAAGTGAGTTCCCAACCTGTAATTAGATTAACTTTAACTGTAGTTTGCTAGAGTAGTTTTAGTTCTTTCATCTTAATCTGTTTTGCTAGATAATGAACTGAAGCTGAGTAATAGTAACTCTAGAGACCCGTGGATTCGATATTTATTACTTGAGCCACTATAGTGCAGTCCCTTTCATTGGTTACACTTGGCCATTGTTAGGAGTTGTGTCATAGCGAGTCAGTAGCATTCATCATAGACTCACACACATAGAATGATTAAAACAACATATGAAATAAAACATTAATGATCTTACACAAGACATGATTAAAGCATCGCGAATACAATAAAGCATCTAAAGTCATATGCATCAATGATCGCTGCCTTGCTACTAACTACACTATTCCCAATCGATGACCAAGTATAACCAACGATCCGGTGTAGAATAAGGCAAGTGTTTAATTGTCAAACCGAGGCGGTCAATATACCCCTACTTCAATATTTTAATATGTTATCTAGCCAATAGTTTGGAGTTAAAGCTAAAGAACTATAGTTGAAAATAATCAAAGAAATGAAATTGTGATGAATTTGATGTGAGAAAACTTCACCCAGGTATTGCTCCCCCTAGTCTCGTGTCAAGGTCAACTGAATGGAAATCTAGTGTGGAAAGGTGTGATCATATACCGTGAGAAGGATGCAATTAGTAGGGAAATCCCACTCTCTTAGCCGAATAATCGAGGATTGTCACAATAAGGTAGGAAGCTAGCTCTCTTGACTAATCGACTAAGGATTACCAAGACCACTCCCTAGGAAGCTAATCCGAAATGGCGGAAAGTAACCAATCACTATAAATTCATGGCACTAATATGATGTTTGAGGCCAACCCTTAATTTCCCTAGACGGGGTTACCCAATTGGCTAGAAATCTAGCTTCTTATGGCCCCAAGGAGGATTTCCACCACCTAGGTCAATTTGACCTAACTTTGAGATATGAAGAACAACACTCAAGAATCATGAAAAATACCTCAAACATTATATCAAACACAAACCCATCACACATAGCGTTCAATTCCTACCATCTCACACATCCTATACTAGAGTTCACAATACCCAAGTGAATTGGGGAACTAATCCATGACTAAGAAGAGGAATACAACAAAGATGGAGGAAACAACCATGGTAAGATGCTTCTCTTCCCTTCTAAGTGCTTGGATTGTCTCCTTGGAGGAGAAATCTCCCCTCTTCAAGCCTTGGGTAGGTCAAAATCCTCATTTTTCTCCTTTGTTTCGTGACTTTCTCTCTCTAACTGAAGAAGAACCAAAGCTCACTATAGAACTCTCTCCCTAGATTTTAGCATTCTCCTCTTTATATACTCCAGCCGGGCACTTTTATGGTCGATTATCGCGCCCGTGATGTTGGAAGCCTGCCACTGATCTTGGCTCAAGACATGTCATTTCATTAATAGACTTCACGGTCGATGGGAAATTATCACGGTCCGGTGTTCGTGACAACTAACCTGCCTGCAAGGTGTGCAAAGTCTCCTGGAAGTTGTACATCTTCACGGTCAGGGCTCCATCTTCACGATCGGCTGACCGTGATAATTACACTTTAGGTGTGATCTCTGCCTGTTTGTCC